CCTGACAAATATTTCCAAATCTATCAGGGTTTAAAGATTTGCAATTTTTTTGATGTCTTTAGATACGGCGCACCATAACAAAATAACATTTTTACTTTGTAAACTTTTCAAATAAAATAAACACACTTTTTGATTCAAAAAATATTGGTTCCTTGGGGTGAAAAAAAAGTAGCAGTCAGGTTTTTTTCAAAAAACAATTTTCCAATTACAATAATTGGTTTAATGTCAAAGCTTTATTTATTAAACATTATGTTTTTTGCTAATACTTCTTCTTTAAATGGTGTATTGGCCTTCAAGTGTTGTAATAGCAAAGGTACTAGAAAATTTTTTTGTTTATATGCTGTATTAACTCCCAAAGCATTAAGTAACCAAATTAATTTAGTTACTTGAAAAGTATTAGTAAAATGAATTTAGCATCCTCCAATTCTGCCCAAATACGAAGTTGATTGAGAGCTAAATTGGGTTTTGTTGATAGGCTTGTCTTTTTTATTACATTTTCTTTTTTGTTATTATTATTATTATTATTATTATTATTATTATCAACTTTTTTTGAACACATCATCTTAAGATTTTCTCTAAGGCTTGCAGTACCTTTTTCAGGAACTAGATCATTTGTTTCACACCATGTTTTTTGTCAACTTTTGTTATAAAATGTAATTATTCTTTTAAATAAAAATTCAATATTGATTTCTTCAAGGCTTTCATCCAATTCAATGCATATGTTGTTAATTAAAGATTGAAATGCATTTATAAGATAGCAATTGTTGTATTGATTGTTGTTTATATACAATAAAATATTAGGTTCAAATATTGAAATAAATCTAATGTCAAGGATTCAACTCTATACATAAACAACATAAATCTTTTAGTTGGCAAATAATACTGTTTCGTGTGTAAAGTTTGAATAATCTCTTTCTTTACTTCACATAATGATTGTAGTACTTTTTTTAAAACATCCTTTTTTAAATGTGCATTAATTTTTGCATCAACACATATTAACTTGTATAATATCCAGCCTGAAATATATTCAAATTTGTAATTTTCAGCTGGATCCAGTACAA